TGAAGACAGTAACAATGTATTGCATTATATCCCTAGGAAAAGTATAATACTTAAACGTTAAGCAAACGATTTTAAAATATGTGGAGTTTGCTCTAATAGCAGAAGTGCTGGAAAAAAGTTTTTTTATATTTACATGTTCGAGACATTAATATATTATTACTACACTAATACTACTTCATATAACTGATATAACTTCACAAAATTAAAAGTACGTATAACATTTCGACTTATTTGCTTACAATGTATATATTATACAGTAAAATATGTGGCTTTCAGGATGAGGAGGACAATCCAACAATGATTGGAACTCAGAATATTCAGAGGTCTACATCCACTGAACCTACTACAAAATCATACGACTCTCCAAGCTCATGCATATCTTCAAACCTCAGGTTAGGAAGAGGAGTAAATAATGATGTTTCAACGCTTGAGAGAAAAAGGGAATGTTTTTTGAAAATGCAAGTAATGTGCTTGGTAACAAGAATAAATAAGCGCACGTCCAGAGAATGCTACGACATCCAATTTGATTTGTGATACGCAAAATCACATTAAATATTGAGTCATTCTGATCTTCGGACCTATCTTCGGTTGAAAGGACTAGGTAAAATTCGAAACAGCAGAGCACAATTCATGACCCTAGAAGATGGAATTGTAGTATTTTGTGAGGCACAAAATTAATAAGTGCAATGGAAGATTTAAATAATCAGTGGGGTTGGACGAGAAGGTAAATAACATTAAAATAATGAATCCGTCAATAATAATTAACCATACCATGAGCTCAGGCTGTTCTTAAGTAACACTTGGCTCTAACAACCCCCGTCATAGAAAAACTTGTAGCTTGGACTCAGCGACAAAATTCATTAGATTACAAAAAATATAATTTTACAAATTTAAACGCGTTTTATCTGAATAGATTCAACTGTTTAGAATGCAATCTGCAAGAATTTAAAAACTAAGGCCAGATATTAGTTTTGAAATGATAATGTTTAATAAAGTAAAATTAAATACCTGGGGCAGGTTGAACAAAGAGAAAATGCCTGGTGGCCTGGAGTGTCGTTTAAAGATAATGCTTTATTCCTTTCAGACGACTCTCATTACGATTGCCACTTTCATTATTGTATTAACTCAAGAACCAATCTCTTTTTTAATACTCAGCCCGTTTACCAACGACAGGTATTTATAAATTAATTAGTTTCTTTGTACTTCTTAGGAAAAATATTTATAAACCTTTGCGAATAATACAGATATCATTTAGAAACCAGTAATTAAGAATTTAGTTCTATTGATATGTTTCAAACGTAGAACGATATTATATTGCCTTTCTCAGTTTCCTGCTAAAATTTTGGTCAAACGATTTAGGTTTTGAAGTACACTTTTAAAATATTTGAAGCTTTATTAATGGTTTTCTTTATGCCGATATTTCACTCATCCTATTTTTTTTTTCGCTATATTAACTTAAAGACTGTTGCAATATTTTCTGACTCGTACATCGCCACATAGTCTTATAATACCAACAGTACCTCTAACCACATTATATCCATAAATGATGCACAACTCTTACTCCGTCCCCTTGCACAAGTAGAACCTACACTTCACTAGGCTTCATGTTTAACACAAACTTCACTGATTCATGGAACGGGTGTCACATTCTGTACCTAACCATTATTAATATTGTATACTAACCCAATTTTATATACAAGTTAGCTTTTAATGCTATATTTTTATTTGTCAATGTTTAATAATACCTTAGTATGTTGGTCATGTTTCAGATTAGCATGATCATAAAAAACCCTAGTAAACTTTAAGCTCCTGAGTAAATTTCATAGGCTAAAGTTAATCAGACCCCCCGTTAGTATCTCCGCCTTGCCGGGGCGGGTGGGCTTGCGTGCTCTGACAACCTCGAGAGCTATGCCGGCGACAGTGTAGCTACTGGTAGGGCATCCCAAGACTGACAGGTCTTGTGAGGTAGGAGCCATACATAAAAGGATACCCTGGTCCTCCAGGTTGGGGGGTTGTACGTAGGGCGTAGGGCCAACAACCCTACCCCGGAAAAAAGTATACTGGCGTATCTGGCGTTTACTGTAAAAAGTACATGTTAGCATTCAAGAACACCAGTCTGTCCCGTTCCCGGCAAATCTGTCCTGCTTTTGAAAATACACATTCTAGCGGGGACGTATAGGCTTCTTTAGCAAGAGCAGGTGTCGGCTCTTTTTATTTCTTCCAATAACTTATTGGGTACGTCTTTACTTTTTCAATATCAATGGGTGGTTTCATTAGATACAGGCGCATGTCTTCTTTGGAATTTGAAATATTTTGCTGATTCGTGGCGTCAACTATCTCCTTATTTTCTAAAAAGAATTTCTTAAATGTTCTTCTTCTTAGGTTCTTCTTTATCCTCCTCACGAGTTACAACACCAGAATCTACTACTGTTCCTCCTAGGGTTTCCTCAGAAGCAGATTTGTCTTCCATTTAGTTTACAATTGCATTTACAGCTGTTGTAGCGTTGCCGGCTATTCCAAACCCGCATTTCTTAAACCTTGGGTCTAAGATGGTTGCTTTTGCGCAGATTCCGATGTCAAATTCATATGACATCCGCTTCGAAAGGGCCGGGAGGGTAGAATTTTAAAGGTTGGAGATAGGGATTTGACCTTATGTTGACATCCACGAACTAGAGGAACGACAACTGATGAGGTGGCATACTTCTCCCCAGACATTTCCTCTGTCAATTCAAACAGCGGCTCTAGGAGATAAATCGTCTCGCCAAGACCTCCCAATCTGAAGAGGTGATTGTTTCTGAGCAATTGATGTATGACAGAGCCATTATCCTCTTTTACCTCCTCCTTTTTAGCTCCTCTTTTACTTGTACAAATCGCTTAATCATCATGTAGGTAAAGTTCCACCTTGTTGGCATCTCTTGCTTTAGTTTTTAAGAGGCTTTTTCTTCAATTGCTCCTGGAAGTGAATCAACTTCGTCGTTGCTACAGAGCAACTTTTAAAAAAGTTACTATTTTATGTCATTCTTGCTGTAACATAGTAAACTCGATTAAACAAAGGGTCATCAAAGACGATATTCACGACCAAATTTAGTGTATGTGCCTCGCAACCAAACCACTTGATATGTCGCATCGCTGTAGTAGCCATATTTCCAGCGTTATCCGTTACCATTGCAAATGTTTTTTTCAGCATGAATATTAAATTCAGTTAACACGTCTTTAATGCAGACAGCAAGATTTTCCGCTGTATGTCTGACATTGATTTGCTTTCTCGACAAGACAGCTGTATATAGTTTACTTTCATGGACAAAGTGCCCTGTTACTGATATATACCCCTCAGTGTTATTTGATGTCCATGTATTGGCAGTGATTGCAACATCCTGGGTTTGCGAGATTTTGCTTAAAGATGACTGCTTTTACCCCATCTCATCGGTTATTTAACAGATGAAGGTCCAACAGATGAAGGTGGATCATCGACACCAATCTCGGCGACCATGTCATGCAAAGTCAGGTACTAGTGATGTTTACGTTTGAGAGGGTCCATTAAGTTTCCTATCGAACCACTGTACCGAATAACCATTTTATGCTATGTGCATTTGGCAGATCAAACGTTATGGATCATTTTGGAGGCATTTTAAAATTATTAATAGAAATTCAACTAAAATCACACCAGAAAAATAATCACTTCGAGAAAAAGTAATCAAATAAAAAATATATATATATCCCTTTTAAGTTTTGATACATTAAAAGGTTTAAAAAAATAAACCACGAGCACACGCACCATATAAATTTATACATTTAATTAATATGAGACAAACAGAATCGAAATACTGAGAGCAAAATCGGAGATCAACCTTCACACACGGGTCGGATGGTTATTCTTGTGAATAATGAATGTAAGCGTGGAACGGTTGGTTTTACAGATAGATAGACTGTGATGTTTCGGCTGATTCACCTACGATGGAATGCATGGTTTATCCACGATTACTAGAAACTAGTAATCGTGGGTTTATCCGGATGAATCGGTTGACGCTCAACAGCCGGATGAATCGGTTGACGCTCAACAGCCGGATGAATCGGTTGGCGCACAACAGCCGGATGAATCGGTTGGCGCACAACAGCCGGATGAATCGGTTGGCGAACAACAGCCGGATGAATCGTTTGTTTCAGTTCCCACCAGTAGTGGGACCAAGTCTGGAGGGATATGAGAAGAATGTCCGTTGCATTGGAGATGATGAAGGATCGAGAAAGATGGCACCGAACTTTTGAAGAGGCCAAAAACCTGCTTAGGTTTGAGTGCCCAGCTAGGTAAGGTAAGGTAAAGTTAATCATAAATTCTGAACCTACTTTTTACTTCTTGGCACTGTCTCAGTGCGGTGAAAAGAGTGATCATATTTAAAACCAACTACAGATGCCAATGTTTACTTACAACAAATCGGAGTCAAAGAGAGTTTGAATACATCCAGAGAAATAGCTTAAATTGGCAATTGAGTTCGACTTAAGAACTTACTAGCAACGTCAGCTATTAAAGTAAACTATTGGTTAAGTCAAAGTTGCATACCTTGTATCTTTCTGTAGTTTCCTATGAGACTAAACCCTTAAATTAACGAATTTTCTATTAATTATTTAACTAAGCAAAATTGCATAGAGGGACAGTTGATTGAAGAAAATCCTGTATGTAGGTTCTTATGAGATATGTTAAGATTGCCGGACAAGAAGATTAACCCAGTTAGATGTAATAACAGTTAGAGAACTTCACTCTGATGATCCAACCTAAATAAAATAAAACAATTTCTAAAAAACTTAATGAAATAAGGATCTTGGCAGCTCAGTTAATCATCCCCTATGATAAAGTATATTGGAAGATCTACCAAAATATTGTTTTTCAAAACCATGAATAAGCACAACTTTAATGGTAATGATTTTTAGAGTTAATGTAAGTTAAAACCATGATTATATTACTGGCAATTACCATTGGGAACAGGTAGTACAAAAATATAACAAAATACACTTGTACAATCTATTTTACTTCAGAATATAAAGGGTACCTTGGATAATTAGATGAAAAACTCAGTCATAGCTCATACAAAAATGTGTATATCAACCATCCCCAACTGATAAAAGCTAAATCAATTAGGTAAAATTCCCAGTTCAGCCACAGTTCCTTTTGGAAATTCAGAAATTCTTTAAAATGATTGTATAGTATGCTGTGCTTTGGGGTTAATGTGGCATTGGCATTCTTGAAGTCCAAATTTGAGTCTTCACCTTTACCTAAAACGATGTCTTTGATAACAAACATTATTGAATTAATAAACATAAAACACAGACAACATAAGGTATAATACTAGCGACTATAGTAAATAATTAGATATACACTTTTTGCTGTACATTTTCAACTTTTTATCTGTTTCTAATAGTCAGTACGTGTGAATATAATACTACTAAAGACAAAATGTTTAATTTTAAAAATAGTTATTTAGCCTCCGGATTACTCTATTATACTTAAAATGGTTTATAATACCTGCATATAGTAATCCTTTGTTGCTGAATTTGGCCAAATTCAGAACAAATGATTACTATATACAGGTATCGTAAACCATTTTACATATGTTAAAGTTTCTAGAATTACTCACTTTTATTTTCAGCAGTCCTATTCAATGGATCGGTTATGTTTGTGGACCTTGTATTATTTATTGAAGCTGAGGCGACTTTATCGTCTAAAACTGAAATATATAAAAAATACTTTTTTATTAATTTCATTGACTTAAGAAAATTTAACCAGTTATTGTCTATTAAATACACATAAGATAAGAAACTAAACCAAATAAAGAAATATTACTAAACTTTTTATGATTCTTTCAAAGCTGTGTTTTGCAATAGATAAAAATGTTTGAGGTATTACTTTGAATAAGATTGAGAAAATAATATAGCTGTTGTAAGGTTTGTTGAGTGGTATTACAAAACAAATTATAAATTGGAAAGGAGTCAATTAAGAACAGAGCTAAGACATGTTTCTGGATCTACTGGGGTCAAATTAATATCACTAATTCAGGTTTACTCTTCATATTATACTTGGATCCTCAATAGTAATATTCATTCTAATAATAATGTGATTTATTTATTTACGGTATTTCCTACAAAATAAAATCTTTTTAAACTTACCTGGACCAGTTTTGCAATGAGTAAATCCGTGTACTACCAACAAAATAAACAATAAATGACTCATAACTACACATTAAAACTCTCCACACTGTCCATTATCAACAATTAAATCTTATCTCTTAGCATCATATACGCGTTTATTATTAAGCGTTTGGTCGATGGGAACATTTCGTTCCTTTATTTCTAATTTAACTAACTACTTATAAATGAACTTTTACGACGTATCTCTTCCTATTGTTATTTGTCTAAATATAAGCCATTCGGCGAATCCCAAATGTTTTAAATTTAAATAACGATTTACAATTATTACCATATTGTTATTTTACTTTTACTACATAATTCGCAAGTTAGTTTTTATTTTTTTTTAAATATATTTTAGGGCACCTATAAATATTTTACTACGCTTAGCCGAAAATATTTCACTAAAATATTATACATAATATATTTACAGTAAATATATTAACTCGTATATGACAAAAATAGCACCAACGAACATTCTATTAATTAATATAACGATTAATCTATTTTCAAAATATGTAGCCGTACAAGCCTCAAAACCTTTATTTAAGGGTTTCGTACTTTGTTTGAGTAATTATCAGGTGTGTTTGTGTCCATTGATTAACAAAATTGAAAAATTAACATGTTCTCCTATTTTAAGGCCTGAACAAAAAATGTATGTATTAAATAATAATATTTGGCCATCTTTAATATATCTATTTTAAACGACACCAATTAAGAAAATTACAATAAAACTCTTTGACAATGTTGATAAAGTGATAAGATTAACAACAAAGGAAATCTTAGATCTTCCAAATGATATGCCAAATTCTATGTTTTATACAAGTACTAAAACAAAGGGATTGGGTTATGTAAATCAATGTGGGAATCACCAATCCAACATATAAACATATGTCGCGTATTAAAACAAACGGGAAACCCATTCTTACTCAATAATATGAATAAATAATAATATTCATCAATATTATTAATAATATTAATATTCGTCAATTTGATGAAGAAATTAGGTTTTGCCTGGAAAAACTGAATTTAAGTATTGAATTTATCGAATCAAAACCTAAGATACTGCGAGAAATCTTACGAGACTTAGAGGCGGTTCACGAGTACGGGGTTTCGTGGCCCGCGGTTATCGTTGATCTCGACCAATTTTAACCGACGGTCAAAAATTGGGTTCACGACATAGAGCGTTAGCCGAGATCAAGCTTAGCCGAGACCAACGCTGGCCGTCGCTCAAGAGCAGGGATTAACTGGGAATTTTCGTTGGGAGGTTGGCAATAGCCACCTGCCGGGCCGCTGCTCGCGGTCGACGAGCCCCAAAACAAGAGGATGACATTGCGTCATAATGATTGGTTCATAAATTATTATAATTAAACAGAGTATTTACTGATATCGTATAAAAAGGTTGTGGACTTGCACTTGAATTCATTTTATACTAAAGTTTAAGGTTACTCAATTTATCATTCAATTATGAATAATACACTTTTACTGAGTACATTGAATCGGGAAAATGCAATTATGTTTAAAAAAAGGTTTATACAAATCTTGGTAATGTTTGCAATAAAATTTGATTACCAATTATGTTCAAAAATAAGACATACTTTATCAGGTTTGCAGTTGTATCCAAAAGTTCAAATTATTTAAAAAAATGACTTAAAATAACTTAAAATGACTTTTAATATATTTTATGTATCAGTAATTTGTATAAAAAATAAATTTCTTGCAACAACTGGCTATTATAGGAGCAGAGATGCCTTCATACGTATACAGTAATAAACGTAAATATAAAATGGCAAACCTACAATAACATTTTATGACACCAAGATCTTGTAAATCGGTTCACAATTGGGGCTACAAACAGCAGGCCTAAGAACTAAGCCCCTAAGAACATTTGCGTGTGCCAGACGGGCAGAGCGCAGCCCTAAGCATGAGAAAACAGGTTATAATTTTAACAAATATTTTGTTGTAATACAACGTTTTGTATATTTAACTATATAATTTATCTTTTACCTCAGCAAATTGAAACAATTTATTGTAAATCCCGATATGACAAATATTAAGACATTATCAAAATTTACAGTATTCTATAGTATTACACATCTACCATAGCCATAATGTTCTACCACTTCACCTAAATAGAAAAAAAAATATCAACAATTCGCAAAATACCACAAATTATTCATGAAATGAAAAACATAAACATAACCGTAAACAATCCTTCTTTGGTAGTTCTCATTGCGAATCACAGTTTTTTGTTGCTGCTTAGTTCAAACATAGACAAAAAAAATTAAATTTCATTCTTTTTGTCTATGGTTCAAATTAGCTGTTTTCATAAATGCAAAAAAATATAGTGCTGCACCCTGTTGGTAAATCTTACAACTTTTTAATGCTTTTCCATATCATAGAACCAACTTTTTTAGTTGAAACAGCTGACTAAATTCTTTAATTCCCTTTAAATATGAATACTCATAAGGTTAAAATGGGGAATTACAGAGCCACTGGGGCGGAGCCCGAAAATATTTTTGAGATAAGAATATGCCTATATGTTAATCGGGAATGTAAGCTATCATCATGCCAAATTTCAGCCCAATCCGTCCAGTGGTTTATGCGTGATTGAACTTCAAACACACAAACAAACACACAAACTTTCACATTTATAATATTAGTAAGATTATTCAGCTGAAATAAAAGGATTCAAAATTGCTAAAATAAATATAAAGAATTAACAAAATAAGATTCGATTGCAATTTAAATTTATATGAATATGTTAAGCTATTAGTTATATTTTTACTTAGTAATAATTAATCAAAATGCCCCAACGGTTACTTTTTACGATGTTTTGCATGTATTCGGCTATCAGTAGTAAAAAAATTAAAAAATAAATATCATGTTGAGGGTAATGTAATTGTTCGGAATTTAATGGCGAATCCGAATATAACATTCTTTTTGCTAACAAAAAAACAATAAACGAGCAAATGAGATAATCCCGACATGATGTCACCTTAACCCTGCCCCCTAGCAGGGTTAAGTTGAAGACCAAAACCATTGTTATTTACGCTCGAGATTATCCAGTTTGCGCTAGACCATGACTCGTGAACCCGACATTTGGCCCGGGGTTTTCTCTAATTGAACCCGTGAAGCCGACTTTTTGCGCTCGGGTTTATCCCTGTCATAATTGGGTGAAGTTTATCTGTCTGCGCTCGAGCGCGGGTAACCCCGTACTCGTGAAGCCGATTTCCAAGCCGCGGCGCAAAAAACCGGCTATAACTGGATTTTGCGCTCGAACTAAGGATAACCCGTGACTCGTATAAAAGAGTATAAAAATTTGTGTAAACTACTCATCGGAGCAAGAGGAACAATTCCTCAACTTTCCATACAAAGGGAATGGGGTGGTTCTTTTCAAAGAATGTAATAATATCAATAAAAATTTGGCTAGAGGTTGTGGCCTCACAGAAGCTGAGTTCAAACAATACTTGAAATTGGTCGGAGACGTTATTCCTCTTAGAAGTCTTCATGGGAGATCTAGAGACTGAAACCAGTGCAGGTGTTGTCGTGTATCTGAGAAATTTATTCTTGAAACTCTTGCCCACGTCCTTGGAAAGTGTCCATTTAGTCTTCTACGGAATACCCGCCACCATACGATCAGAAAAATCATAGCTGATCAATTCAAAAAGAAAAGTTACGAGGTCTATGAAGAGGTCACGGCTATACAAGAGGGCTCAGTGAGGCGGAGTGACATCATTGTAATAGACGAGGGGAAAGATTTTGGTCTCATTATAGACCCAACAGCTCATCTTGAGACAAATGAAAATCAGCCACAGGAAGTCCATGAAGAAAAAGTAAATATTTATAAGAAAATTATCCCCTATTATTCGGAAAAATATAAAATATCTAAATTTGAAGTATATGGACTACTCATCGGAGCAAGAGGAACAATTCCTCAACAAGTTGAGAAATTTTGGAAGAAAAAAATTTGGAAAATCAAGTGCTATATTTAATATCTTTAACAGCCATAAAATTTTCTATTTAAATTGTAATAAACCACCTATATAACAATTATCATAACTAGGTTAAAAAAAACTTGCAAAATTTAATGTCATATTATTCTTTTTGTTACAGCAGACTACAATGTGTAGAAAGATTTAAATTTTTAAAATAAATTTGAATTTATCTTAGTCTAATTGCAAGATATAGCTAAGATGAGCTATCTAATAAGCGAAAATTGCGTATGTTGTTTCAATAAAACCTACCATTCAGACTAGTATATCTATTTATTAATAGGCAAGCATGTTTCTTTAAAACCTTTTTGCTCAGCTCGTGTGCATTGCAGGAAAACTTAGCGCATACTGTTAGATATGTGTTTTCCTGAAGATGTGCAGAATACCTTTATAAATTAAAATAGGTTCAACAATAAGCACAAAATATGAATTTAACATTTTACATGGGCCTTATAAGTTGCTATGCTGGTGACGAAATAACGACATATAGCTTTTATAAATATACGAATCATTAACAAACATTCAAATATAGCATACATGTTCTTACACAACGTTTATTTTTCTTAACCATTCGTTGTTTATTATGCAATGCAATTAAATTAGTATATTTTTATAAATATACGAACCAGTAATTAAATTTCATTTATTATATCTAGCATAACGTTTTAACAATTTCTTATTTCTTTTACCATTAGTTTACTATGCGATGCTTAAAACCCCTTTTTAAGAACGGGTTCATTAATCCCAATGCCTAGGATCCGTAAAACTACTGTTATAAAAAGCTATTGCGTTAATAAAATGCTATCCGGGTAGACTTTCATAAGTGGGGCCTGAAACTGAATGAAGAAAAATCAAAATTTGTAATATCGATATATTAATGTTAATAATCGATTTGGAATAATAATAAAAAACATATGATATTATAGCAAAAAATGTAAATATACAGAGTTGAACTATTTTTGTTATAAATATGACTTGACTTATCTACTTTCTGAAAAAAATCCTTTTAACTCTTATCGATTATATTTAAAATAGTTAGTAAAAACTACCCACTAATACAAGTATTACGTT